TTTGTCCTCAACGTCAGCCGGCAGGAGTGGTCCCATCAATTTACAGCCTTGGAAACCCTATGTTGGGTTGCTGTGAGTCGGACGGGGCACTCTGGTGGTGCAATGGGTCACCTATTTAACTGCTAACCACAAGGTCAGCTGTTTGACCCCACCAGCTGCTTCACAAAGAGGAGGCTGTCTACTTCTTGAACGATGGAAAGCTTTGGAAACCCAAAGGATCAGTTCTCATCTGTCATATAGGGTCATTATGAGTTGGAATCAACTTGACGGCAGTGAGTTTCGTTTTGGCTTTATGAGTCAACCAGGAGTGCTGATGGGCTTTACAAGGTGGGCTGCTAACTGCAGTCAGCAGTTCAACTCCAGTGGCTCCTGGGAGAAGGACGTGGTTTTCTACGCCTGCCAAGATTCACAGCCTTCGAAACCCACAGGGCCGTTCTGCTCTGTCCTAGGGCCACTATGAGTCCGATTCCACTCAGTGGCAGTGTATTTGTTTGTTTGTTTTTTGATGCATACTTGGATCATAGTAGAGAGAGATTTGAGATGGAGTAGCACATTTGAAGGCACTGTAGCTGGAGCGGAGCGTGGTGGGAGGTAAGGCCTCAGAGCTACGCTTGGGTGAGTCAATGCAAAAGACATGGTGATCATGTAATCTTTGTTTGTTTGCTTTTAATTTCTCACTATATTTGAATATTTTAAAAATAGCTTTATTGGCATACAGTTCACAAATCATACAATAGTTTAATCATATTAAGAAGAGTTGTATAATCATCAGCACACATCAATTTTCAAACATCCTGTAAGGTTTCTATTATAATTCTAATGGAGCAATGAAAGGCTAAGCAGGGCCATGACATGATTAAGTTTGCATTTTTGAGAGCTGGATTGAATTTTTTTCCCCCAAAAGGTGTGTTGAACTCTTAATATCCATCCCTATGAATGTAGCTCTGTGGAAGTAGGGGTTTTGTGGTGTTTATGAGGCCAGATTGGACATTTCTTATTAATGTTGAGTCAAAGCTGACTCGTGGTGATTCCTTATGTGGGGGTAGAGCTGCCCTCCATAGAGTTCCCAACGCTGAATCTTCAGAAGTAGGTCCTCACAGACCTTTATTCTGAGCAGTTTCTGGGTGAATTAGAATCTCCAACCTTTCATTAGCAACTGAGCACATTAAGCATTTGTACCACCTAGGGAGTCCATACTGGAGTAGGGAGGGTCCTTAACATAATCTGAAAAATTGCATCTTATAAAAAAGAAACACACACACACACACACACACACACACACACACACACACACGGAAGAGATCATCTGAGGATGCCAAGGAATATTAGGAGCTACCTGGCTGAAGGAGCCTGGTGAGCTGTGAGCTGAGCTGCTAACTTCATGGTCAGCAGTTCAAAACCATTGGTCCCTCCTCTTTAGGAGAAAAATGAGGCCCTGATAAGGATCCAGTGGCTGGGGGGAGGGGGCATTATTGCCTAAGGAGCACTGAGTTTCAATCAATCACCTCATGAGATTTGTTTTGTTGGTTTGGAGGGTTAAGATCATAAATTCATGGAACATCCCAGTTACATAATTGGCCTAATAGAATTGTTAGTGCTTCTGGTCGACCTCCTAGTTTGTTGCATAGTGCTTGGGGTCGTTCTTAAAAGCTTGTAAGCAGCCATCCAAGGCCCAGCGATGAGTCTCTATTCACCTGCAGCTGCAGAGGATGGAGAGTCAGGAACTAGGGGGGTGGAATGTGTGACTGCCTCCAAGAATTGTTGCCCTTGTTGCCATGAGATCAGAACTGGATGGTGCCTGGCTTCCATTACTGAACCTTTTCATCCAAAGTTCTATAGAAGAATTCTGACCAAAATGGGAGGGAAATGCAGAATAGAATTTCAAAATCTCATGGAATCCAGACTTTTGGTGGGGAGCCCCAGAGGCTGGAGGAGCCCCTGAAACCATGGCCCCAAGATAATTTTTAAGCACAAACCAAATATTCTCTGAAGGCTTTTGAAAACCAAACAACAATTTAGTTTTACTGCCTTGAGTATGGCATTTTTTTAAAGATCTAACATTGTGGAATCAAACTGACCATGTCAACAAGAGATATTAGATAGGGAGCTTCAGAGACAATGAGTTTATGTTGAGAGAGAAACAACTCAGACAAAGAGGGTGGGAATGACTAAACAGCTCCAGGAAGGTGATCTTGCTGAATTGTATATGTAGAAATGGTTACTGTGTATACTTTCAACAACAATGAAATAAAATTATATATATGCATATATATAATTTTATTTCATTGTTGTTGAAAGTATATATGGATAGAGAATGGGGCAGATCCACTGGCCTCTAGCAGCTTTGAAAGGCCTTTCACAAGACAGCGGGGACATCAGAGCATGATTGGTTGGCTCTGGTATCAGCCATGGCCCAAGCAGGTCAGACAGGATCATGGAGGAGGAAAGAGCATCAATCCAACCAAATTCCCTTGGGCTCTAGAATCCTTGGATTCTAAAAGCATGGGACTCCCAATAGTAATTAATCTAAGATGTGGCAGAGGGGGTTGGGGAGTAAATCAGAGTCAAATGAGAAAATCGATGAAGGGGCTGAGTTGTCTGACGGAGTTGGGGCCAGGACAAGTCCAGAGCCCCATCGAGTGATAAGGGAGTAGGAAATGGCAGGAAAAGGCAGTAAGTAGGAATGGTAGAAATCAACACGGGTCAGCATACAAGGACAGGGCCCCAGACCTGTGTTCCTCGGCCTTTATCTGTCACCAACCTCCTTGTCCCTGGACCTGAGCAGAGTGGCCCGAAGACTTCCTGGCTTCCACAATAGCTTGGAAAGCAGAGGCCCATTGACTTCTGCCCCTGCCCTATGAGGCCATGCAGTGTCCACCGGCCATCTGCAGCCAGACAGTGGAGGGTCTTCTCCCAGGAAGAGCCGCCGCCAATGCAGTCCAGGATTACAGTGACATCCGTACCTTGAAGAAGAAGTCCTTGGTAATAGTTAGGAAAGCCAATATGCAAGCTCCTCCTTTCTGGATCCCGTTTGGCCCTCTTTCCTGTGGACCAGGAGATCATGTGGGAAAGAGAGCCATGGCCTGAAAGACTAAGTGCACTTAGCAGACATCGAGAGCCAGAGATGATGTGCCAAAGTAGTCAGCTTTCAGAAAACCTCACTGGTCACTGTGAACATAAAGGACCAAGCCTGGAGTGCTTGTTCTGGAGGGAATGGCCACTGTTCCGCTCTGAGCACTCTGTAGGCTTCCTCCTTTTGTTGAGGATTGAAGCTATGCGATGAGGGGGGTTTGTTTATTTATTTTTGTTTTCCTTCTCTTTCTCCCTCTTTAGCTGGGGCAGTCAGGGAACTTACACTCGGAGAAAATATTTGATCGCAGTCAGGACATTGACCTTTATGATTAGCGTTATTTTCTCTCTCCTTCCCTTGCCATTTCTTTCTTTAAAAAAAAATTTTTTTTAAATTGGGGGTTCTGACAGCTCTGATCACAATCCATACATATATCCATTGTGTCAAACACATCTATACATATGTTGTCATCTTTTCAAAACATTTTCTTTATACTTGAACCCTTGCTATCAGCTCCTCATTTTTTCCCTCCCTCTCCCACCCTCCCTGCCCCATGTCCTCTTGATAATTTATAAATTATTCCTTTTTTCTCTCATGTTGTATACCGACCGCTGTATCCCTTCACCCACTTTTCTGCTGTGTGTTGATTATGTTGATCGGTTGAACTGATCATCATATGTTAAGATGATCGGTTCCCTGGGTGGTTATTCCACCCCCAGGCTTTGGAAAGATGCAGTGGAGAGAGAGGCTTTGGAAGGGAAAAGAAGAGAGAGTTAGGAATGACAGGGAGAAGGACCATGAGGTACAGACACACACACACACACACACACACACACACACCAGTGATGCCCACCTTTTGGTATTTATACCTCTGAATGTGGGCTGGGTTGTTATCTCACTCCTGACAAACAGACAGCATATGGCAGACGTCACGAGATGCCACTTCTCAGACTGGGTGACCAGGCCCTCTGTTTGGGGTGCCTTCTCTCACTCTTTCTTGCTCGATCTGAGGGAAGTCAGGGCCCATGTTGTGAGCTGCCCTTTCAAGAGGTTGACATGACCAGGAACTGAGGTGTCTGACCAACAGTCTGAGGCCTACCAAGGACCACAGGCGTGAGGTTGGAAGTGGATCCCTGCTCTGTCAAGTCTGCGGATGACTGCAGACCCAGAACTGGAAGGTCCCGTTGAGCTAAGAAGCGGTGAGCTAATAATACATTGTTGATGATTGAAGCCAGTAAGTTTTGGAGTAACCTGTCACGCATCAATAGAGGACTAATACAGAAGAGGAAGGAGGACAACAAAGCCTTGGAAAGAGGAGGACGGAGAGTGAGAACGAGTTCAGTTGAGAGATCCAGATTATCTGGGCCTCTGGCAGACACCTAGAGCTACACAAACACATACATACCCTGGGTGGTCTTCATGGCCTCCCCAGAGAAGTCCTCCCGCTTGTAGTCAAAGCCAGCAACAGCTCCCAGCTTCTGAGCCATCTGGATCTTTTCCTTGGAACTCGTGGTCACCAGGGGAATGGCTCTGAACAGCTGGTCAACTGAATGGCAGCCGTGCCCACACCTCCCATGCCCGCATGGATGAGCACAGTCTCTTCCTGTGGCAACGATTCAAGTTAGAAGACCCTGGGGAAGGGAAGGGGGAGCGGGTGGAGGGTTGACTTTGGAAACGTCAACGATCCAGGGTTGAGGTGTAGAGCACAGGGGGAATGAGCGATCAGGCTGGAGGGTTGGGTAGGACCTGGGTCCCAGAGGGCACCGCGAAAGGTTGAGGAACAGAGGGAACCCTGGCCAGGGCTGTGCTTCCCCAGAATTCATCCGGAGGTGGGTAGGAGGGCAGGGTCATGGTCTTGAGGAGGAGCTCCTGGGGCAGAGACCGCCTTTGACTCAGATGTCTGGGTGGGCCTGATCCCTTTTGTGTAAGATGAAGGGAACAAGGGTGCCTCCTTCATGGACTGTGAGGGGCCCTGGCTGAGGAAAGGACAGGGGCCTTCTGGAGAGGGGACAAGCAGCTGGAACTGCTCTGAGAACCTCGGTTCTGTCCCACACTGTTCACCTCTCGGTGGTTGTCTCCACTGGGACAACTGAGCCAGCATTGGGATTAAAGGTGGAGGCTGGGACTGGAGGTCAGGGCTGTGTTGGGGGCCAGAGAGAGGCTCAGTTGGGTCAGTTGGAGACCGGGGATGGGCTCAGTATTTGGTTTCAGATAACAGGCCCGGTTGGAGGGGCTTAGGAGGAAGTGGGCTTCCTCATCCACAGTGCAGCAGCTGGAAGGCCGTGAGCCAGGCCTCTGGAATGGCTGCAGCCTGGGACAGTGACAGGCCCTCCGGGATGGGCATGAGGAGCCCCTCAGGGACAGTGACATACTGAGCCTGGCCCCCGCCGGGCAGCAGAGCCATGGCCGAGTCTCCAGGCTTCCAGTGCCCCTGGCAGCCAGGTCCCAGCTCGGCCATGTGTCCAGATCCCTCCAGTCCCCAAATGCCCTAGAGGTGGGGCACGCTGGCTTGGTCTCTGCAGAGAGAGGTAAGTGCGTTTGATAAGCGGAGTCACGTGCCAGCCCTCCTTGTTGCTGGAGGGTGAAGGTGATGCCACTTTTGGCTTGGTTTTCTGGAATGGGAGCATTCAGATGGTCTTTTCAAAGGGCTACTTGAAAGAACAGTGGTTCCAGAAACAGCTCGTCCAGAGGATCTCTTCGGGGATGGTCACTCAGAATGACCCCTCCAGAGAGGACGCCTCCAGGTCTCCCCAGCCCTCCATCAGGCTGTGAGTGTCAGTGCTTGCGGTGGGGGTGGGCAGTTAGTTGGGGGTATGGGCAGTTGCTGAGCTCGGAAGCCCTTGCAAGAGGACCTGTCATCTCAAGTGTTCTGGACTTCGCTTCCACAGGAAGCCGGGCCATCCCATTTGAGAAATGCAAATCCAAGCACTGACGATGACAGCCCCATGTAAACAACAGCAACTTCCAGACAAGAACAACCTCCTGCAGACAAAGGAGTGTAGGGACTGAAATCCCCCTACTGATGGGACAGGAAATATGTACAACCATGGTAGAAAGCCAGATGGCGCTATCAGACAACTGGGAATAGAAACTCCAGATGAGCAGGCAATCCCTCTGCAAGGTATGTTCCCGAAAGGAGTAAGACATCAATCACATGAACAGACATGTGCACACCCATGTTCGTCGTGGAGCCAATCGAAGAGTCCAGCCACCAGTCGCTGTAACGGGTCACACAGACGGGGTCAGAATCAGGGACATTTTACTAACAGATCTAGAAGGTCAGTGAGACTGTTCTCCAGGACTGCCTGGTCTTTTCTCATACGTTTGGGGTCTTCATACATTTTGGGGAGTCAGTACATTACACATGTTCACCTAAAGCTTATGGCCTTCTTCCCATCTTGTGTGCGTTAGAACCTCAAGGCTGAATTTTAAGTTAATGTTACAGCATGAACTCGGACCCTGCGGTACATTCCTGGGAGGAAGGACTGGGGGGAGTTTCTGCAGCTACAGGGAACTAAGACCTAAAATGTGATCAATGTAGCAGGCATGTAGCAGGAATCTGTTAAAGACCCCTCTCTCAAGCAAAGCACTGTTCCCAGGAGCAAGACTTGAGCCAATAGCTGACATCTTGCCTACCTACCCTGCAACAAGGGATGTCCCTGCTGATGTCAGATAGATCTTGACTCCAAGCAGAAAAGACCAGAGTGAGGTTTACTTGTGTTTCATTGACCATGCAAAGGTACTCAACTGGGTGGATCATCACAGACTATGGAAAGCATTGGGGTGTATGTGTGTGTGGGGGGGAAGGTATTTCAGAATACCTGGTATTTCAGAATACAATGAAATCCAGAATTTCATTGTGCTAACGGGGAACCTGTACAAGGATAAAGAGGCAGTTTTGGGAAAAGAAGAGAACAAAATAGGGACTACTGTTACTGTATGGTTTAAAATCAGGCAAAGTGTGTTAGCGTTGTACCCTCTCACCATACTTACTCAATCTGTATGCTCAGCAGATCATCAGAGAAGCTGACTTATGAAGAAGAAAGTGGCTCAGGGTTGGAAGAAGGCTTATTAACAACCCGCAATATGCAGATGACACAACCTGGCTTGCTGAAAGTGAGGAGAACTTAAAGCACTCTCTGATAAAGATCAAGGATTGCAGCCTTCCCGATGGATTACAACACAGTGTAAGGAAAACCAAAATCCTCACAATTGGACTAATGGGTAGCATCGTGATAAATAGAATAAAAACTGAGTTGTCAAGAATTTTTATCATGTTTGGATCTACAATCAGTGGTCAAGGAAGCAGCAGTCAAGACATCAAAATGTACCCAAATTTATATTTGGGTAAATCTGCTACACAAGACCTCTTTAGAGTATTGAAAAGCAACAATGTTACTCTGAGGACTAAGGTGCCCCTGGCCCGAGCCATGGTCTTTTCAATCTCCTCATATGGATGTGAAAGTTGAAGACTGAATAAGGGAGAACGAAGAAGAATCAAAGCATTCGAGTTGCGGTGCTGGAGACTATTCAGAGTACCCTGGACTGCTACAAGGGCAAACAAACCTGTCTTGGAAGAAGTCTGGCCAGAGTGCTCCTTAGAGGCAAGGGTGATGAGACTCCGTCTCACGGGCTTTGGACATGGGATCAGGGGAGACCAGTCCCTGGAGAGGGACATTGTGCTTGGCAAAATGGAGGGGCAGCGAGAAAGAGGAAGGCCCTTGTCAAGATGGACTGACCCCGTGGCTGCCACAATGGGCTCACGCTCAAGAGCGATGCTGAGGCTGGCGCAGGGCTGGGCGGTGTTTCGTTCTGTTGTTCACAGGGTCACTCTGAGTCAGAACTGGCTGGATGGCCTCTAACAACAAAAAGGAGACAGAAATACATATCTCCTTGGGTGATTTGAAGAGTTAACAGAAATAATTCACTTAGTACAGTGCCAGGCCGAGTGAGCCCCACATACACAACAGTTTGTTTCTTGCTGGGGTCTGAAACACAGACTCCCCAGATCGGCACGTGGCCAGTGTGGTGGGGACATGAGTTGTAAATGCTGGAAGCGCTCCACAGCTTGATTCAGACACTGAAAAGCCAAACCAGAATCTAACCCCTGTGGCATGTCCTGCCAGCTACTTTCGGAGGAGGCTGGAGGCTCAGTCCCTGATCGGGTCGCTCTGCCAAGGGGCAGGCTCGGCATGCCCCCTACTATGACTGGTACCTGGAGCAGGTCTGCCCAGTTCAGGGCACTGGCCGCCACCTTGAGAAGGATTTTACCCTCTCCTGGCCTTGGCGTGTCCACCTCCCTTAGGTAAAGATTTTTTGGTCCTCTGGGCTTGTCAAAATACACGGCTAACATTTTATCTGAGGACACAAGGGCACAGGAATGGAAGAAAAAGATGAAAACTAGGTAGAGCTAGCACAGGTTTGTGAAAAGCCCCCTTCCCCCCAGCAGGACCCACAGTCCACACCTCTCCTAGACACCACTGGCCTCCACCGGTCCACCACCACTCAACACCACCACCCCTACACCGTTCCTGCTGCCGACCTGATTTTCCTGTCTAAATTCCCAGTTCTAGCTACTTCCTGAGCCTTCTCTTTCCAGGGAGCAGGACTAGAGCACCTGGCTTTGGAATTAACCCAATGGGAATTCAAACCCTAGGCTTTGTTGTTCACTGCAGGTATGACCTTGGGCAAAATGGGGCTAAATTTCACCTAAGGTAGTCCGAGGGACCCTGCCTCCTCCGCCTCCCCTTCCTTGGGGATTCGACCTGCTTGGAGTGGGAGTGGGGGGCCCTTTGAGGATAAGGTGGGAGGGGAGCCATACCTGGAACCATCCTGCCAGCGGGGTCTGTCCTCCTGAGAGGTGGGTGCCTGGCCTCACTCCACCTGGGGATCAGCGTGCGGCTGCAGGCCTGGCTTAGCTCAGGGAGGGACTACTTATGTTCTGGGCTGGACAGATTGGCCTGCCCACTGCCTGTGATGTGGGTGTTCCCAGTATTTTCCATTTTTCATTGTATATTATCAGCGTGGTGCTATAATGGCACACAGGCTTGATCCTCAAGTTAAGCAAGTCCTCCCCCTAAGTCTGTAAGGATTCATTCATCCCCCTGCATGAGAGGCCCTAATCCCTGCGTGCACTGAACACTGGATGTGGCTTCTCTCCTGTGCAGGGGGACAGAAGCAACTCACTTTCCTTTTGCCTGCATTGCTGAAGGGCAGAGACTGAGCATCTATGTTCCCACCTCTGCCAGCCCGATGGAAGCAATACAGCAACAGTAAAGTCAAGGGATGGCCCAAGAAGGGCCCTAAAAACTGTGAGTGGATGTTTGATGCGGGAAAGTTCCACAGGCTGGTGTCACTGGCACCCACGCCTCCAGACTCACACTCCACCGTGAGAGACGTCTCCTCTCCAACCCCACCTGGAGGCTTTCTGGAAAGAGGAAGGAAAGGCAGAGGGCAGGAAGGAGGCAGAGGAGCAGTTGGTTCTGAG